CTTCCCATTGGTTGCCTGTACGGGAGATGTCCTTAAATCGCCCACAACTTTAGCAGGTGGACAATTCTCAACCACTCATAGATCTAGCGTTCACCTACCTTACTGATGATGGCCTTACCCCTCTGGTCCTTGCGGGATGTGGCTGCATCCTGGCGTCGGAAAACCTTCCTAAGTTCTGATTGGTTCTTGCGGACGCATGCTTACACTAGCCCTGGATCTTGGGCATAACAAAAATAAAATACCACTCCGTGAACTGTCCATTAGAGACATGTTTCTCACCAAGATCATCATCAAACGATCTTAAATGAGTCGTCAAATCGATCCCATCTCCCAAATCATTTTTCACTCGAGTTATCACTGAAAAAATATCATGTTTCAACGCCATTGAAGGTACTGCACTTTTGAATATTATCAGTAGCATAACTAGTATGGCTAAATGGTTTCCCATGTTTAATTTTCTTCTTAATTTAAGGACTGTGGAGGCTTTTCTCTTCAGCTAAAATTTTAGCCTTTTTCGTAAGCTCTTTCTGAACTTATTTTAAGCATTGAAATTTCAAAAATATTTCTATTCTATTTTATAATTTTGACTTGATATATTCTTGTATATTAAAATTCTTTTTGGTAGATTAACACTAAAAAACTCTTTTACAGTAGTCTTACCAGATAACCAACAATTTTTTTTGTAAAATCTATGTTTCATAAGTCATACTATAATAAGCTCTTCTCAAATAAGTGACACCAAAAAAACCACCTCAATTTTAATTATAAATATGAAAAGTGTCTTAAATTAATTATTCATTAATAATTATATCTTCTGTATTTGCAAAAAGAAAAAAGAAAAAAGAAAAAAAGAAACTCTTTGTATTAGCACCATATTTTTAGAATGGTGTTACTCAAGAACACTATTATTTTATTTTATTTTTTTATAACCAAGGTATCCAGGACAACTTACGTTATTCGTTTGTTTAATCTGTAAATAAATCTTTAATTGATTCTATGCAAATATCTATACACATAAGTCTCTTTAAATGATTGAAATATGTGAAATTCCTTCATTAATATCTTTAGCTTCAATTGGAGGATTAAATATAAAAAAAGAAAAAGAAAAACTCTAAGAAAAATTAAAAATATAGAGAGAATTCTAGAGAGTACAAGAGATAACTACTCAACTTTTTTTTTTGTTTTGTAAAAAAATTTATGATCCTAGCCTCCCACAAAGCAATGACAACATGTTAATATAATACATACATTTTTTTATTATAGAATGAAAATGATTAAATTAAAGATTAAAAGATTTGATATTTGTCATACAAAAATTAAGTGCAAGTAAATTAACTAGTCATTTTCAATATAGCGGAGCAACATTCAGGTGACCCAGCCTCGCATGGATTTTCAATTCAAGGGCCAGGCTTCAAATCCAAATGAAATTAATGGGCCTCTTCTCCAATTTGTTTTGCCTTGTTTCATTCCTATTTAAAATAAATTTCTAAATCAGTTCGTTTATCATCCATGTATTAATTACAAAGCTACATATTTCGTGTTTTATAAATTTAGAAAATATGAAAAACACGTTAATTAATTGTTTTCAAGTTAAAGATTACAGTTTTAGTGATTGTCTGTTTTATTAAAGTCAATTATAGCATGCAATAAAATATTCGAAATTCGTAGCTTATTAAATTAAATAAAGACATGGAGACATTGAAGCACATGGCTCAATGTTCCTTTCGTTATTGGTATTGATGTGAACACTCAACAAAATATTTGATCATCATTTGTAATTTTTTTTTTTTTTTTTTATCATCAGGTTTTTAAGTCAATATGTGTATATTTAAACTAATTTTTTAATGTTTTAGAATTATCAATTAAATAAGAGCTTTAATGATTATCACTATTAATATAAGAATTTATGAAATTTTTTTTTGCTCTTTTACCATAAAACATAAAGATGATTATCCTATGTAATCTTAATTCAAATACTATTGGCTCAAGTTACCTTTTTAAATATTTTTAAATTATTTTTTGTCATGCATAGGGAGGTGAGATAAATATAGTTATGAATATGATGCTCCAATAATTCCAATACAAACTCCAAGTAAACAAGATAATTTATTAAATTAATAACTTGGTTCGAGTAGCTTTCTGATTTCTCTTTTATTTAATGCTAGTTCCTTCAGCGTAAAGGAATTTAGAGCAGATGTGTAACTTAGTATAATAAGATGTATTTTAAGGAATTAATGTAAATAATACTTTTATTTATTGATACAATAATATCACATAAATATTACATATAATTTTATTTTCTAAAGCCATTTCAAATAGTCATTCATAAAAAATTTAGTAAAAATTATGAATTAATATAAATATATAGAGCAAATATTTTAGTGAAAGCCAGTTATGAGTTATATTGAAGCAATCACATGTGCAATAGAAATGGGTTGTGAGGTATGTATCCTGAAGTGGACCACCATTTTTATAGAAAAAATAAGATTTCATTTTTTATTTATTTTTAAATAAAAAAACATGGAAAATTTATTACAGGCCCTACTGAAAATGACTAATCAAATTTATATCTATTGCTTTTTGATTTTCAATTTTTCAATATGTCATTCAATACTATAGTATAAATTGACTCACCACTTCCTCTTAATATGTGGGCAAAAAGTTCACATGAGATTTGTGATAAAGTCACAAGTCCGGCAGATCTTATTAACTTCTGCTTGATTCATTAGTATATGGTATGATATTAATTCTAGATATTATTATTTTGTTAATTATTTCTTAATTAAAATCACATGTTTTAATCTGTTGACGTCAAATTATACGTGGATGGAGTAATAAGTAACTCCAACTTGTGGTTGTCTTTATTGCTTGCTGGCAATTCAGCTGCAGCCAACCTGTATTATTTCCATTTTTTGTTAATTGAGTGTGAGTGTGAGTGTCCGCATCAGCTCATATGTATCTCAATTAATCTTAAAACTATTGACTAGATAAAAGCTCTTATGACTATCCCTATTAGCAATCGATGAAAGATTTGAATTCAAGACCTCTTGAGTGGTATATTCAAGAGTTCCTATCGAATCACTCAATCAACCAGAGATAGTTTACCCAATAATTCTCAATATCAAATAAAGTAAATCTCCTTGTGAGGGGATGGTAAACCCTATAACCACTGGGGTTAGTTATACCTAGGGGGTCTTGTATTCAAATTGTAAGAGAGATACATACCTTATAATTTGTGCAATTACCTTGGTCTATTAGGTTTATAGGGTGTTTTATGACCTTGAATATTAGACATACTTTAATATGGGCCTGGATACCTTAATAGAGCGGGAGATCATTTCAATAAGGAAAATGCTTTAATTATTGGATGTCACAATCCTTTAATTAGCAAGAAATAAAGATTAAATTGAAGATTTTGTTACATCCTCATATTATTATTATTTATTTTCCCTAATTGTGTATGTCCCTACACGGAATACTTATATGGGTCACAAAATAATGGATGAATCATGAATGTATATTAGAAATTAATTACTTAATATATTTTTTTTTGGTAACATGGGTGTTGGGGGTCGGCTTATGAACTAATCCTTGGGGTTTATTGAACATTTTACAAGCCTAAAAAATCAGATCATAGTTATTAGTATCTTACGATATGCAATACGTATTCTATGATACAATTCGATACAGGTCGTCAACAATACGTATCAGAGAGTGTATCATAAACTTTTCAATAGTTGATATGTATCCTACAATACGATCCGTATTGATTCGTATCCTTAAAAATATTGATAAGACTTTATTAATTTGGCCCAAAGACTCAACAAAATTTTCAGGTCGAATCTGGGTCACCCAACCCGGTTCACTAAAATCCGCCCAAATTTACCTATTTTGCATAGAGAAAGTGAAGAGGAAGATGTGATGCCCATTTTGTATGATAATAATAACATCAGTGGAGATATAGATATTGACATTGATTTTAAAAATTATATGAATGGTTGAAAGGAAATGATATAGATTCTTAATTTTGTAATTAATTTTGATTATGTAATACTATAATTTAAAGCCAATAATATCACAAAATTCGGTAATTAATCTTGGAGATGAAATTAATTTTTAGAAATTTTTTATTATTTTATTATCATTTTTTAAAAAAGTCAGCATCCTATAATACGATACATGATTAAAAAAATTACATTTTTCATATAAAATACGATATGTGATTTCATAATTATAAATCAGATAAATTATAATATTATTGTAATCGATCACTTTAAAGTTTAAATAAAATAAAAAAAAAAGGGATAAATTTTCTTGATCAACAGACTATTCCTTGGGTTAAAAAGAGAGGGGCATTACGAGGATAATTACCCTTTCTATTATTAACTCTCTTACGTATTAAATACATTTATGTCAAGAAAAATATTGATACGATAATATAATAGATTCTCTCACCGTCACTGTTTTGTTTTGTTGTTTCCTACAATAAAATATATGATATTAACCAGACATATGATCAATAATGATTATTCATTCTATCGCTATTGAGTGAAGACAAAGTATTTATGATTGGCAAAAATTGTCAAATCCCTTCTGGGAAGCTAAAGACTTAAGGGCGCCATTGTCCTTTACTGTCACCACGTCAATTTCTAATCTCTCACACACGTCTGGGTCCCCATAATTTTCGGATTTTTCAGCTTTGAATTACTAACCGCCACATGATTTCATGTTCACTTACCCCACTTCTCAACTCAACTCAACTCAACTCGACTCGACTCAACTACATCATCAAAAGGAAAAAAGTGTTTTCTTAATTTTCCTGCAACACTCTTTTGTTTTGTTCCCTTCTAGATTCATTCACTGCTGGTAGATTCAAAGTTAAAAGAACAAAACAACCAAAGTTTAGTCAAGAAAATAAAAAAAAAGTTTCACTCTTTACTTTGCTTTTTTTTTTTTCTTTNCTTTGTAATAATAAGTATTATAATTCTGCAATTTTATAGATTCCAATATGTGGTTCGATATGGTCGTGCCCCTCTGAAGGAGTATTGAGCTTCTCTGCTTTCTCTGTTCTTTCATTTTGCCGCAATCATCATCTACTTCAGCTCTTCGGCCGCCCACAATGGCTTACTGTCAGATGGCGTTCACATTCTTACGTCAACAAGGTGTCTTTTGTTTCTATGTAAAAACACTCCAGATTTTCATTATCTTTATGGAAGTACATTTTTTTCAAGAATGTTCAACTTGAGGAGCTGCCAATGTTAAAATCAGGTCAGGGAACGACTCGAGAACTGGGGTTGTCGAATAATAACTGATTGTGAGGTGTCTTCTGTTGTGTCAGCTGATGATGAAGGTTAGTTATTAAATTCCTTAAATTTTTATCGCAATCCTTCACATGAAAGCTTTTGAAAAGTGAATGTGTTAGCGGGGCTTTTTGTTCTGAATAACGAAAGGAATGTGTTGTTGCAGGTTGCACCGTCGTATGTGGAGATGGTTCCGAAGAAATGTATAATGGCTGCATAATGGCTGTTCATGCTCCAGATGCCTTGAGAATACTCGGAAGCCAAGCTACATTTGATGAATCGAGAATACTTGGTGCATTCCAGTATGTCTACAGGTACAGTGTCTTCCATTACCATCGGAAATTTTTCTTCCGTTTACTTTTTGAAGAATCATCAAGAATGGGTGAATGCTTAAACTGATATAAAATAGCCAACTCTTGTAATCTGCTACACAAAATGTGAAATCATTTCTTAACGTGTTATGGCAGTGATATTTTCCTCCATCGTGACAAAAGTTTTATGCCCCAAAACCCAGCAGCATGGAGTGCTTGGAACTTTCTTGGAAGTACAGACAGCAAAGTATGCCTGACTTACTGGCTCAATGTGCTTCAGGTTTGGAACATATGTCTTCTGTAAATTGAGCTTGGAGTTTATGGAGTTAGATAACTGTCACCTTCTGTAATGCTGCCAATGAATCACTCTTTTGATGTCTAAATGCTCTAGTTATTAATTCACCTTGCAGAACCTTTGTGAAACCACTTTACCTTTCCTTGTAACACTCAATCCGGAACGTAAGCCAGAACATACATTGCTCCAGTGGACAACTGGTCATCCAGTCCCATCTATTGCTGCATCAAAAGCTTCACTTGAGCTTAAAAGTATTCAGGGAAAGAGAGGAATTTGGTTTTGCGGAGCTTATCAGGGTAAGCATTTTATCTAATGGAAGGAAAAAGTCACAGAATATACACTAGTTAGCTCCTTTGATACAGATCATCTCAGTAATTTTTTTTACTTTTAATTTCAGGTTATGGCTCCCATGAGGATGGACTAAAGGTAACCATGGTTGTAAAATCGCATATTGTATCATGTATCGAAAATCTAATTTTTCGAATCGTGTATCATATCGTATCGTAAGATACACCTTTTTAAAAAGATAATAATAAAATAATTCTAAAAATTAATATCATAGCAAAGATTAATTAACGAATTTTGTGATATTATTGGCTTTAAATTATAGTATTACATAATCAAAATTAATCACAAAATTAAGAATTTATATCATTTCATTTCAACCATTCATATCATTTCCAAGATCAATATCTATATCTCCACTTATGTTATTATTATCATGCAAAATGAGAACACATTTTCCTCTTTACTTTCTCCATACAAAATAAGTAAATTTGGGCAAGTTTTAGTGAACCGGGTTCAGTGACCTAGATCCGGCCCAAAATTTTTTGAATGTATTGTTATTATTATCATGCAATAAAGTATTGTTGACTGTGGCCAGTCTAGAATGGAATGAAATGTTCCATTCCACAATATTAATCATGTTGGCAATTTAAAGAAAATCTATCAATTTGGTGACTGTGGCTTACAAGTGAAATGTGCTTCTTTGCAGGCAGGCATGAGTGCTGCACACAGTGTGCTAGGAAAACATTATGAAATTTTGAGCAATCCAAAACACATGGTACCGTCGTGGATGGAAACAGGGGCGCGACTTTTTGTTGCTAGATTTCTAGGACATTATATCTCTACTGGCAGTTTGATGTGAGTTCATTTGTATTTTTGAATCATTTTTGCCTGTTTTTCCTGTCACACGAATATGCATACACTCCCATTCCCCTAAACTCA